GCGGTGGTGATGGAGGGTGCATGCACGTCAGCAACATTAGGAGCAGCGTGAGCAGAGTCGGCCATGCCGGTGGCGGCTGGAACAGAGGGGCCGGATGTGGAAGCAGCCAAGCCTGGGGTGGCAGGTGGCCTGCCGACACAGGGCTTCTTAGAAGCCGGTTGCACGTCGGAGGCAAGGAGAACCGGGAGGAGCCCGCCAGAAAACTCCTCGAGGAAACTTTCCTCGAACTCGGAGGTATTCTCCGCCTCGTCTTGCATATCCAGATCGGGAGTATGAAATTGCTCAGCCATGAGAGGGAAGGGTAATGGACACAGAGTCAAATGAGTGCATTTATGCGAACGAAAATACACCCGCCATCGAGCACTGCTCGAGCGACGAGAAAGCAAGGCCCATGGGTTTGGAGTTGGAACGACGGGGCAGCGCAATGGAGCAGGGTCCAAAGAGCGCAGGAGGAAGTGGGCAGGGAGGCAAAAGGGGCGGAAGGAGTGGGCGAGGCCACATCTCAACCAGAAAACTGACTGGGAGCCCAAGCGGCGTCCCGAGTCAAAACGCCATGATGGCGCAGAAAGCTGGTTCACTGGTGCTGCACGCGGGAAGGAAGCGAAACTATCTAGGGATGTGATTGTGACGGGCGCTGGCTGGTTGGATGTGCTAGTGATGTGATAGTGTCAACTAGTTGTGATTCTTTTTACCTTAAAAAGAACACAGGTTACAAGATAGTGTTGATGTTATGAATTATAACTCAGAGAATAGCAAAATATTCAATAAGGGGAACGTGACTGTTGAATCACGATACAAATGAGGCCTATGGAATATATAGGACATTTGAACAGGGTTGATAGTAGAAGGTTGGACCAGTCAAGGGGTAGAGTGACCCGAGGCGACGGGGTCAAAATGGGTTCAGGGCGAATCAGGATCAGGTTGGGGACCGGCGGGGGCTGGTTTGGTGCGAGAACCGAGGAACGAGCCTGCGGAACCACATGGATCGCGTGTACTCGCTGAAGCGAGCCCCAGTAAGGAATCATAATTCCTTACACTCTCCCACCTTCTAAAGAGGGCCGAAACTTTAATCGAGGTCTAACCTTTTCCCTAAATTTATCCCCGAAGTGACTGTAGATCTTCGGCCCTGTAATGAGCATAATGATTACTCTGGCCTGACAAGGTTTTCAGGTCAAACTGCAATCAAGGGTCGGAAAATGTCGAAACTATCGTTTTTAATATCAGTCGTCGAAGATGGTCGAATTTCTCAGCTCGCCGATCGAGCAAGGGTAAATACTCCAGTGGAAGACTGTGAACAGTAAATGCGTCGAGTGGGCGATTGATGATGACACGTGGCTGATGAATATCTTGAAATGATGACAGGCTAATGACGTGGAATGTCAGATGACAAAGAGTCGTTCATCAATACGCGAGGTCGTCCGTGACACATGCGAGGGTACACGTCTGTGTCTCACGAAAATCAGTGAACTCCATCAGCGAGTTAACGAGCAGAGGCATGGAAGTTTAACGGCTGTGATTCCAAGTCCCTGTAATTCCCAAGTCCCTCTGATTCCAAGTCCCTGTGATTCCAAGTCCATGTGATTCCAAGCCTGCCTCTCCTAACTTATGTCTCCCTCTCCCCCTCTCCCCCCCTCCCTTTCCCCCCGCCCCCAGCCACAACGATGCTGCTTCTGAGGAGTTCTCTGAGAGTGACGTTCACCGACTGGACCTCTGCCTTCCCTTGCCTTGTCTCCGGAGGCTCCATGCTCACCCCCCAAAGCTGGACTGGCGTGCGCTGCGACTCCCAAGGCCACCCCATCGCCATGTGAGGCATCATTGCATAAGCTTGTGATTCTGTTGAGTCAACGCAAGGCCTGTGTCCGTGTCCCGCAGCACGGAGAACAGAAATAGAACAGACATCCACGATGTCTGTGGCCACCCCTCACAGCTCTCTCATCAATGATCGCATCGTGGCTGAGATGGCGTGGCACGCAAGCACCTGCAGCACCTTTTCTTTCTTATTTTTTCCAGGAGAACAGAAATAGAACAGACATCCCCCCCCCATCCCCCCTCTTTCTGAAATAGAAAGGGAAGGAATGCTTCTCTCTTGAAATAGAACGGATGCTCCATCTGCTCCTACGGGAACAGACACACCACCCCTCCCCCCCCCCCCCCCTCTCCCCCCCCCTTTTTCCAAAAGTTCCTTTTGTCATTTCTTCCTCCATTTCTCTCTGTTGAACTCTCTTAATTCAGCTCCCTCCAACCCTGCCGCCCTCCCCCCTGCTTGTAACCCTCTGTATCACCCCTGCCCCCTCCATCCCTCTCGCCCTCCACCCCTGCCGCCCGCTGCCATACTCGCCAAAGACAACCTCACTTCACTGTAATACATGCCTACACTGTTCCGTGCTCTGTTCCATTTTACATTTCTCCTCTCTGCTCTTTTCTTTCTCCCCTGCTCCTTTTTTCATCGTGCACCAATGGCATCCAACCACCACTCTCAGCTGATCCCAAGCATTCTCTTCCCACTTTCTCCCCATAACCTCCCCCCCCTTACTCCCTTCTCCCTCCAACTCATAATGGCTACCTCCTTCCCTCTCTTTCCCTCCTATTTACCTCCTTCCCTCCTTCCTTCCCTCGTTCACAGGTTTAACCCAACCACATACTCCACACCCCCCCCCCCCCACCCCTTCCCCCCTTCGCCACAGTTTCCTCGCCTCCAACTATCTCTCCGGTTCCATCCCATCTGTCGGATTGCAGATCTCCCATCTGCACCTGCCCCACAACTACCTCACAGGCACCTTCCCCAGCTCAGGTGCCACCTTCGCCAGCTGTACCTGCACCGATAACTGCCTGCAGAGCGTGGTGAACTGCAATGCCGGGGATGAAGCGCTGCAGAGGGCGTCAGGGTGTGACATTTGCAGCCATGCCATTGGGACTGTCCAACCGTGCGGTGCGGATGGGGTGTGTACGCCAGAGGTCTCTCCCGCCTCACCTGCTGCTGAACCGGGCTCCCCGCTGCCCATGACGTGCCATGGTGGGTGATAGTGAAGTCATCCAGCAGCGCACACTGTGTGACATGCCAGGGTGAGTGACTGGCATGCCATGGTGAGTGACTGACATGCCATGGTGAGTGACTGACATGCCATGGTGAGTGACTGGCATGCCATGGTGAGTGACTGGCATGCCATGGTGAGTGACTGGCATGCCATGGTGAGTCGGTGACATGCCACGGCGAGTGCGTGTGTTGTTATGATTGAGTGAGAGCTGTGCTTGGTATCTGCAGGCATGCTGTGGGGACTGTGCAGTTGTGCCCCATCCCTCCCTCTCCCCCACTCGCCCCTCCCCTGCAGCCTCTGGAAGGAAGCGGAGCAAACGCACGAGCAAGAAGGAGCGCTCCATCTGCCATTGTTCATTCCCCTTTCCATTTCCATGACTCTCATCGTCCCTTCCCCACTCGCCCCTCCCCTGCAGCCTCTGGGAGGAAGAGGAGCAAGCGGGCATGCAAGAAGAAGCACTCCATCTGCCACCCCTTTTAGTGCAGCACCGGCTATTTCTGCGTGCCCTTCGTGCATAGCTGCAAGGGTACCTGTATTTGCTGGTGCCCTTTATGCGAAGTGTAAGTAAACATGTACTACAAGTGCGTCAAGTTATGGCGGTAACTGGGCTCCAGCGCCATAAAACACTGTGCAACCAGATTGGCAGGTCGTTTGGTGGAGATTGAGGGGAGCTTCAAAACTCCATGCTGTTCGGTATGTACAGAGTTACAATGGTTGTTTCAACAGTGTCGAGTCGAGCATGGGGGGTAACTGGGATACCAGATCTCGAGCATGGGGGGTAACCGGGATACCAGATCTCGAGCATGGGGGGTAACCGGGATACCAGATCTCGAGCATGGGGGATGAGCGTGCGTGGCGGTGATCGGATAAATAAAGCAGCATGCAGCAGGGTGGGGTAGGGTAGAGTATGGGTGGGGTAGGGTAGAATTGGGTAGGGTATGGTAGAGTAGGGGTGGGGTAGGGTAGAGTAGGTTACGGTATTTCTTTGATAATGTGCAGGCGTTAATAAAGGGCCGGGGGGGGGGGGGCTCCAAAGGAGTGAGGCTTTTCTACAGGGTGTGAAGAAGAGAAGAGCGCTGAAGGGTGAGAGCTGCGTTGCCTTTTGAGTCCACTCAGAGGCCAGGGCTGGGGTCTGGGCCGGGACCGGGGGGGCTCTGTAGTCTGCAAGTGGGTTTTGTCTACAGCAGGGTGGAGTGGAGTGGAGTGGAGTTTTTCTTAACTGGAGGTAGGGCGTGGTGTGCTTGTTTTATATCAAAGCTAGCCTGCTCGGTCTTGGCAGATCAACCATCAGGAGGTCACCACCACACCACACAAGGAGAAGGCAACATGCCACTTGCAGCGCAAGTACACAGCACTATATTTTAGCTGCCTACAAAATAGAGGCAATCTGTTCCTCAGTACAAACACAAAAGCCCTCAAGTAAATTGCACTGATATTTCCTCCTGGGCTGAAAAATAGCTCTTGCCCCGGGCTGGAACATACTCTTGGGGGTACCGGGACCCCCAGGTCACTTCCGGGGCCGACCCCTTTCCGTGCTATTGCTCTAGGCTGATGAACCATCAAGAGACCACCACCATCACCACACCATACAGCGAGAGGGGCATGTGTACACGTGTAACACCCTGGATCCGAAATAGGTGCAGCCAAAGGGGTTCTTAGAGGCAGGCTGCCCAGGACTGGCCTTTCGGTAGGCGACGTCCCCCTTACCTGTCCCTGCACGTGAGCAGTTGGACCTCCCTGCACCCTGGTTATCCCCTTCCGCGTGTGCGTTCCCCCGTATGTTGCCTGACTGCCCCACCCCATCCCCTTCTGTCCCGCCCCACCCCCCAAACCAAACTCCAGTTTGACTACGCCCTGACCTGACGCACCGCCACGGGCCGGACACGTGCCGCTCACCTAGCCCCAAGGAGAACGAGGCAGCAGCAGCCGATCCAGCAGCGGCGGTGTGGGAAGTGGTGAAGATGTGGCAGGAAATTTCATAAGAGATGTGATACGACGAGGACATGCAGGCACGGGCGTTGAAGGGTCCAACAACCATGCAGACTACAGAGACCCCCGAGCCTGGCAATTTATTAACACATGCACTTGCATTCCTTGCAGCTCACTCAAAAAAAAATACCCTACCCTACCCTACCCTACCCTACCCTACCCCACCACCCTACCCTGCTGCATGCTGCTTTTATTTACACGATCGGCGCAACACTGTAATGCTGCTCCATGCGGTCTGGTAACCCGGTTACCCCATAACTCGGCACACTTGCAACATCCCTTGCAGCTCAGCACATACTGAATAGCATGGAGTTACCGGTATGAGGCTCCCCACAATCCGGTTACACAATTACAGCATAGTTTGCAGCGCCTGTTCCCAGTTACCGCCATAACTTGACGCACTTGTAACCTTTGCAGCTGCGCACAAAGGGCACGCAGAAATAGCCGGCGCCGCACTGGAAGGGGTGGCAGATGGAGCGCTTCTTCTTGCACGCACGCTTGCTCCTCTTCCTCCCAGTGGCTGCAGGGGAGGGGCGAGTGGGGGAGGGAGTAAGTGAGGGAGGGACAATGAGAGTCACAGAAATAGAGCAATGGCAAGACAGAGGCAATGGGTAATGGCAGATGGAGCGCTTCTTCTTGCACCTGCGCTAGCTCTTCCTCAAGACAGAGGCTGCAGGGGAGGGGAGAGTGGGGGATAGGGAGGGATGGAGAGAGGGGGAGTGGGGATAAGGAGGGATGGGAGAGAGGGAGGGATGGAGGATAGGGAGTGATGGGAGAGAGGGAGGGATGGAGGATAGGGAGTGATGGGAGAGAGGGAGAGTGGAGGATAGGGAGGTATGGGGCAGGGCTGCACAGTCCCCACAGCATGCCTGCAGATAGCACATGTGCGTAAGGTGCAGTGCTAGATACCAAGCATGCCACGCACTCACCATGGCACGTCACTGACTCACCATGACACGTCACTCAATCACCATAACAATGCAAGCACTCACCATGGCACGTCAAGCACTCACCATGACACGTCATGCATTCACCATGGCACGTCACTCACTCACCTCACCATGACGCATCACAATGTGTGCGCTGCTGGATGACTTGAACATCACTCACCATGACTTGAACATCACTCACCACGACTTGAACATCACTCACCACGACTTGAACATCACTCACCATGACTTGAACATCACTCACCACGACTTGAACATCACTCACCATGACTTGAACATCACTCACCATGACTTGAACATCACTCACCATGACTTGAACATCACTCACCATGACTTGAACATCACTCACCATGACTTGAACATCACTCACCATGACTTGAACATCACTCACCACGACTTGAACATCACTCACCACGACTTGAACATCACTCACCACGACTTGAACATCACTCACCATGACTTGAACATCACTCACCATGACTTGAACATCACTCACCATGACTTGAACATCACTCACCATGACTTGAACATCACTCACCATGACTTGAACATCACTCACCATGACTTGAACATCACTCACCACGACTTGAACATCACTCACCATGACTTGAACATCACTCACCATGACTTGAACATCACTCACCATGACTTGAACATCACTCACCATGACTTGAACATCACTCACCATGACTTGAACATCACTCACCATGACTTGAACATCACTCACCACGACTTGAACATCACTCACCACGACTTGAACATCACTCACCATCACTTGAACATCACTCACCATGACTTGAACATCACTCACCACGACTTGAACATCACTCACCATGACTTGAACATCACTCACCATGACTTGAACATCACTCACCATGACTTGAACATCACTCACCATGACTTGAACATCACTCACCATGACTTGGACATCACTCACCATGACTTGAACATCACTCACCATGACTTGAACATCACTCACCATGACTTGAACATCACTCACCATGACTTGGACATCACTCACCATGACTTGAACATCACTCACCATGACTTGAACATCACTCACCATGACTTGAACATCACTCACCATGACTTGAACATCACTCACCACCATGACTTGAACATCACTCACCATGACTTGGACATCACTCACCATGACTTGAACATCACTCACCATGACTTGAACATCACTCACCATGACTTGAACATCACTCACCATGACTTGAACATCACTCACCATGACTTGGACATCACTCACCATGACTTGAACATCACTCACCATGACTTGAACATCACTCACCATGACTTGAACATCACTCACCATGACTTGAACATCACTCACCATGACTTGAACATCACTCACCATGACTTGAACATCACTCACCACGACTTGAACATCACTCACCATGACTTGAACATCACTCACCATGACTTGAACATCACTCACCATGACTTGAACATCACTCACCATGACTTGAACATCACTCACCATGACTTGAACATCACTCACCATGACTTGAACATCACTCACCATGACTTGAACATCACTCACCATGACTTGGACATCACTCACCATGACTTGAACATCACTCACCATGACTTGAACATCACTCACCATGACTTGAACATCACTCACCATGACTTGGACATCACTCACCATGACTTGAACATCACTCACCATGACTTGAACATCACTCACCATGACTTGAACATCACTCACCATGACTTGGACATCACTCACCATGACTTGAACATCACTCACCATCACTCACCATCACTCACCATGGCACGTCATGGGCAGCGGGGAGCCCGGTTCAGCAGCAGGGGAGGAAGGAGAGGCGGGAGAGACCTCTGGCGCACACACCCCATTCGCACCGCACGGCTGGACAGTCCCAATGGCATGGCTGCAGATGTCACACCCTGACTCCCTCTGCAGCGCGTCATCCCCAGCATTGCAGTTCACCGCGCTCTGCAGGCAGTTATCGGCGCAGGTACAGCTGGCGAAGGTGGCACCTGAGCTGGGGAAGGTGCCTGTGAGATAGTTGTGGGGCAGGTGCAGATGGGAGATCTGCGATCCGATGGCTGGGATCGAACCGGAGAGATAGTTGGAGGAGAGGGACCTGTGGGGGGGAGGGGGAAGGGAGCAAGGGACCTGTGAGCGAGGAACCGGAGAGATAGTTGGAGGAGAAGGACCTGTGGGGGAAGAGGGGTGGAGGAAGGAAGGAACGAAGAGGGCACCTGTGGGGGGGAGGGGACCTGTGGGGGGGAGGGGGGAAGGAAGGGACGAAGGAATGGAGGAAGGAAGGAAGAGGGTAAGGGAGCGAGGGGTATGGGGAGAAATTGGGTAAAAAACGGTTGGGATCGGCCGAGAGTGGTGATTGGATGCCATTGGTGCACGATGTAAACAGGAGGAGAGGGGAGAAATGTAGAAAGGGGCAGAGGGAAGCGATATATAAAAGAGTGGAGGGGAGAAATCCAAAACGGAGCAGAGCGTGGCCATATCTAGGCAGGTATTACAGTGAAGTGAGGGTGTCTTTGGCGAGTATGGTGGTGGGAAGCGTGCCATAAATAAAGTTGTAACTAATGTCCCTGTAAGGGCGGCAGCGGTGGAGGGGGGCAGGGGTGATACAGAGGTTTACAAGCAGGGGGCAAAAAGGCAGGGGGCCAGGGGGCTGAGTTGAAAGATCAACTGTGGGCGATGGAAGAAGGAATAAAGAGAGAAAAAGATGGAGCATCTCTTCTGACTGTGGGAAGGACCAACTGTGGGTTTTTTTCCGTAGGAACAGATGGAGCATCTCTTCTAGGAGAAACACTTGGTTAGAGAATAAGGGAGCAAACGGGGCTGCAGGTGCACTTAAGTGTTTCAGGTGCCTTCAGGTGTGCCAGGTGCCCTCAGGTGTCTCAGGTGCCTTCAGGTGTGCCAGGTGCCCTCAGGTGTTTCAGGTGCCTTCAGGTGTGCCAGGTGCCCTCAGGTGTTTCAGGTGCCTTCAGGTGTGCCAGGTGCCCTCAGTTGTTTCAGGTGCCTTCAGGTGTGCCAGGTGCCCTCAGGTGTTTCAGGTGCCTTCAGGTGTGCCAGGTGCCCTCAGTTGTTTCAGGTGCCTTCAGGTGTGCCAGGTGCCCTCAGGTGTTTCAGGAACTCTCCAATGGTTCAGGTGCTCTCTCTCATGTGCTTCAGGTGCTCACAGGTACTGCAGGTTGGGAATGGATGGCAGATTCGCTGCCAGCACATCCAGCTCCGCCACGATGTGATCATTGATGAGCGAGCTGCCAGGGGAGGGAAGGGAGGCATTGGAGGGGGTAGGAGGGAGCAGAGGAGGAAGAGGGGACCATGCAGTGTGCTACATGCTGCCAGCACGCCCAGCTCCGCCACAATGCGATCATTGATGAGAGGGGAGGGAGGGGGGTCATCAGGGGAGCATGTGGAGGACGGGAGAAACGCACGGATCACAGGTACTGCTGGTTGGGAATGGAGGGCGGATTCTGTGCCAGCACGCCCAGCTCAGCCCTGATGCAGAACCCTGACCCCAAACCCACGCTCACATGTGAGTGAGGGCGGTCAGAGCAGACACTTCACTTGGAAAGCTCCCAGAAAGCTCCTGAAGGTTGATAGTTCTGCGCTCAGAAACAACGTACCATAATAAAATACTTGTATAACAATTCAGCTCGCCAAAACATAGCAACAATACTTCTCATACATACTTGTAAAACCATTCATCTCGCAGGCACAGCATGACAATAGCGAAAAGTGCTAACACTTACAGCACCACTACCACTTACAGCACCACCATCGCCCCTTACTCACATGGCGGTCGGGTGCCCCTCCCCATTGCACGTGACAGCTGTCCACCCGTGAGTGGTCGAGTCCGCCGCCCCCTCCAGGCTGCACAGGGCGCCCTGAACCCAATCGGTGAACGGCACGTGGAGGCTTGTCTTGAGTGCCAGCATGGCAGCTGCAGCAGCGGGAGCCATGGCTACCGGCAGAAAAGATTCCGTGGATGCTGCAGAGGAACGGAGAGGGGTGATAAGGGAGCAAGGAGGGAGAGAGAGGAAAGGGAAACAAGGAGGCGCAAGGGGGGGAGAGGGAGGGGAAAGGGGGCAAGATGGGTTTGAGGCGCTTCAAAGATAGGTTGTCATGGCTACAACCTACTATAGGCAGCACGGATTCCCTGGATGCTACAGAGGAAAAGGAAGGAGCTCTCAGGGAGGAAGGAGGGAGAGAGGGAAGGGGAGCAAGGAGGGAGAGGGAGGGGAAGCGAGGAGGGCGAGGAAAGGGGAAGAGCTTTGAAACCTCAAACGGTCAAGTGCTGTAACAATATGCCTTGCAGGGGAATTAATGGGAAAGAGAGGAGAAAGGGGGGAAGAAAAGCGAGGAGAAAAGGGAGGTGAAAAGTACGAAGAAAAGTGCATCCGGCACTTATTTAAACGGGAGGTGCAAAGTACCTAAACGATTGACCCAAGACCCGAAGCTACATGGCCATGCTTACCTGTGCAGACCATGGGATATGTAACCGAAGGATCAGGAGCACAGACCTCCCCCACCGCACACCCTCCTCCACAGATCGCACACTCAGAGCCGCTGCGCTGGTTACCAGCACCAGACTCGGAAGTGTTACAAGCAGAAACGTCAGTGAGGCAGTTGGTGTGGGCGGAGCAGGCGGGGAGAGGAGTTGGGGGTGTGGGGAAGGAGGAGGAGAGGAAGTTGGAGGCGAGGGAGAGGGCGAGCAGCTGAGAGCCCAGTGCAGGGATGGAGCCACTCAGGTAGTTGCCGGAGAGGGACCTGCGGAGAAAGGGGGGGAGAAGGGGGGGAAAGCAAAGGTTTCATTGATGAAGGAGAGGCAGTTTGAGAAGAGAGGTGGCTAGAGAGAGGAGAGGTAGTGCAAGCGAGGGAGGGAGCATCCTTACAGGGACATGAGTGTCTGAATAGTGAGCAGCGAGAAATAGCACGCAGTGCAAGCGAGGGAGAATCCTTACAGCGATGTAAGTGTCGGAATGGTGAGCAGGGAGGAATGGATCGGGCCAAAGAAAAGGTTGCTGCTGAGATCGCTGGAGAGGCGGGCAGGCGAGAAAGGAAAAGGAAAATATGAGTGGGGCTGTAAGGAAGAGAACGGTCAGTATGAGTGGCAGTAGGCAATATGACTTAAGGAGTGACAGTTGCTGAGATTCCTGGAGAGACGGGCGGAGGAGAAGAGTCAGAATGAGTGGGGAGGTGTAAGGCAGGCTGTGGGTAGTGAATGGAATAAGGGGCGGCAGTGGGTAATATGGCCTACGTAGGTGCACGCTTACAGGTGCTTGAGGGACGGGAGGTGAGACAGGTGCTGGGCGAAGGACTTGAGCTCGGCATAGATCTCGTTCCCAGCAAGAGCACTGGGGGGGAGAGGGGGGAGAGGAGGGGGGAGAGTAGGGAGAGGGGGGAGAGGGGGAGAGGGGGGGAATAGGGAGAGAAAAGCATATGAGATGAAAGGGAGTGAGAGGAGGTGAGACAGGTGCCTGCCACCAGAATGACTAGGGGACAGGAAAGGAGATAGGGAAATAGGGAGATGGGTGGAGATGCGATAGCGAGATAGGGAGCTGAGCAGAGACTGGGGGGGGTGGGAGGGAGGTGGGGGGAAGAGGGGGGGCGGGGAGGGCTGAGAGGGGGGGGATGGGGGAGAGAGGAAGGGAGAGGAGAGTGGGGGAGTGAGAGGAGAGAGGGAAGGGAGCAGCACGTGAGGTGAGAAGGGGGGGTGGAGGTCTTACATGCTTGTGAGCGCGTGGAGAGTTGACACAACCGAAGAGAACGCCGGGGATTCGAGGAGAAAGTGGCCTGTCGTGGCCGTGATGTCCCTGCAGGTGGGGGGGGCGCGGGGGAGGGAGGGGGGGGGGCACAGGTGATGAGAAACACAGGTGATGAGAAACACAGGTGATGGGGATCTCAAGGCTTCAAGGAGAAAGTGACCCGTCGTGGCCGTGATGTCCCTGCAGGTGGGGGGAGGGGAGAACACAGGTAAGGTAATGAGAAACACGGGTTACTTATACATCTAGTTGAGTCTTGAAAAGAGGGGTCTATTTTTCAGGCGCCTCAATACCCATGCGTGAGGAGTCCATTTTTGGGTGCCTAATTTAAGTCTAATTGGGTCTTAAAAAGTGGGAAATGCAGCTTCTGGAGTCGGCTCGAAAGAGGGATCGTGAGGAGTCGAGGAGAAACAGACCCGTGATGATGCTAATGCAACAGGGGGGAATGCAACAGGGGGGAATGCAACAGGGGGGAATGCAACAGGGGGGAATGCAACAGGGGGGAATGCAACAGGGGGGAATTCAACAGGGGGGGATTCAACAGGGGGGAATTCAACAGGGGGGAATGCAACAGGGGGGGGTGATTGTGTGGTTTTAAGCTATGACAGATTGAGTCTTTAAGCTGCAACGGGGGGGACGCAAACGAGCCTTGGAGGATTGAGTCTTTGGGGAATGAGCCTTAGGGGATTGAGCCTTGGAGCCTTTGGGGACGAGAAGCAGACCTGTGATGATGCTGATGCAAGCATTGGGAGGCGGACCACAGGTAATGAGAAAGACATGTTTTGCCTTGTATGCACGGAAGTGAGGTCCCAAAAGATCACTCGTTCATGCGATCATAACTCACATGGCGATGGGGTGGCCTTGGGAATCGCACAGCATGCCAGTCCAGCCATGCGGGGTGAGCTTGGATCCTCCGGAGGTAAGGCAAAGCGAGTCAGTGGTCCAATCGGTGAAGGTCACTGCCAGAGAGCTCCTCAGCAGCAGCATTGCCGTGGCTGGGGGGAAGGGGGGAGGGGCGACGGGATGGGGAGGGGGAAGAGGAGGAGGGGAAAGGGAGACAGAAGTAAAAGGAGTGGCTAATGTGACCTATAAGCCAACTCAAAAGTCGCCTGTTCAAAACCCTCAGCTGGCTACTTAGGCCCTGATGCACGGGCGCCCGGTGTAACATGATTTGCAAGTTTGCTTTGAGACTTCTCCAAACAAACTTGCTTTGAGCCCTGAAGCATGGTTGGTGTCAGCATGGTCGCAGTCTCTCACCTGCACTTGTTTGCATCATTCTTGGTGAGACACTTGAGTCGACTCGAAGGTTGGTTTCTTAGTCGACTCAAATGTCAAGAAGAACAAAACATGAGCCATTGCAGTGCCTAAGTGACTTTTGAGTCAACAAGGTTGGTGGCTGTGGCCTCTCTCACCTCACCTGCACTCGTGTTGAGCTGATTATTGAGAATTATAGAAAACCTGGTCGCTGCCTCTCACCTGCACTTGTTTCCATCATTCTTGGTGGGACAGAATCGATAGACACTGTATGGGTGGGGGGGGTAAGGCAAGAGCCAGACAACACACACAGAGGAGAGGAGAGTAGCTATTAGAACGTGCACAGAACAAGGTGTTCACATCACTAGGTGTTGACAGCACAAGGTGTAACAGCAACAGATGGCACAAAACGAAGAAAAAAAAAAAGGTGGCTACAAGATCAAGCTGCTGGTAGTGCCAAAAAAGAAAATAAAATAAAAAGGCAGGTGCGTACTCGCTCGCGCGCACGCACGTGCACACGCACAGAAACGCACACACGCGCGCAAGCACGCACGTGCGCACGCGCGCACACACACACACACTCGCACACAGCAACGGATGCAAAAAGCAAGAGATTTAGAAGAGGGAGTAGGTTCCAGCAAGTAGGGAACAAACAGTTCAAACTAAACACGCATGCCAACAACAAGAAGCAACATACCAGCGCATTCCATGGGGACAATACTCCCCGGCTCAGACCCTGCCTCCACCAGAGGTGCACACACCTCCCCCTCGCCACACCCCCCCCCACAGATGGTCCCACAGTCCCCGCTTAGCCTCACAGTGCCCAGACACCCAGTGAAATCCGTTAGGCAGGTGGACAAGGCAGTGCAAGTGGGGAGAAGGGTGGGGGGGTTGGGGAAGGAGGAGGAGAGGTAGTTGGAGTTGAGGGAGAGGGCGAGCAGCTGAGAGCCCAATGCTGGGATGGAGCCAGTCAGGTAATTGTCAGAGAGGGACCTGGTGGAAGGGGGGGGGAGGGAAAGGAGGGGGAGAGGTATTTGGAGGTGAGGGAGAGGGAGAGCAGCTGAGAGCCGGGCTGGGAGGGGTGGCGTGACGACGGGCGGGGTGGGGGAGACTTGGTTCAGACAACGAGGGATGTGAGCCATACAGGACTGTGACGGAGGGCATCGTGTCTCAAGCGAGCACGTGACTCACAGGGACTTGGACTCACAGGGACTTGGACTCACAGGGACTTGGTTCTAACAACGAGGAATCGAGCCTTACAGGATTGCGAGGGCGGGCATGGTGACCAGCGCAGCAGGGATGGAGCCGTAGAGGAAATTGGCTTCCATGTCGCTGCAAGGGGGGAGCGAGGGGGGGGGGAACGGGGGGGTGGAGAGGGGGGGGAGGAGGAAGGTGTGTGCATGCATGGTGATGAGGTCAGCAGGGATGGAGCCAAAGAGGAAGTTGGCATCCATGTCGCTGCAAGGCGGGAGCGGGGGGAAGGGAGGGGGGAGGGGGGAAGGAAGGAGAGGAAGGAGGAGCGGATGGGAGGCGGGGTGCTCAAGTGCATGGTGAGGCGAGCAGCGCATCAGGGATGGAGCAATAGAGGAAATTGACAGCCACCTCATCTTCTCATGTGCACGTGCATGGTGCTGCAGTCGTGTTGTGAGCCACCATGTATGGTCGCAGCGGCGTGGCTGTCACATATTGACAGCCACGCCGCTGCAACATAGTGACACAGTCGTATTGTGAGGTGATTCTTAACAGCCACTGCCGCACTAAGTCATGGCGCCTAAGTAGAGCTCCCTCGCACTTACAAGTGCCGCAGGATGGTGACGGCAAGCAGGTGCTGGTAAGTTACACTCAGTAAGAGACTTGCTTACAAGTGCCGCAGGCTGGTGACGGCAGACAGGTGTTGGGTAAAGGCCTTGAGCTCTGCACGGATATGCGTTTGGGAGAGCGCACTGCGAGCGAGGGGTGTGAGGGTGTGGGGTAGAGTAGAGTGTTAAGCCCTTGAGCTCTGCATGAATACGCGTTTGAGAGAGCGCGCTGCAACGGGAAGTGGGGAAAGTGCGGGTGCGGGGGTGTGAGTGTGTGAGGTTGTGAGGCAGTGAGGGTGTGGGGGTGTGGGGTAGAGCATAGAACTTGAGCTCTGCACGGATACGTGTTTGGGTAAGCGTGCTGCAATGGAAGTGGGGGGAAGAGTGGGGGGGCGACTATAACGCACTGCTCTGTGCATTGAAGCAGGATGTGCTGTGCCAGAAACTTGTAGCACACATGCAAGCACACATGCATGCACGCACACATGCAAGCACGCATGCAAGCACACATGCACGCACGCACACATGCAAGCACGCATGCAAGCACACATGCATGCATGCACACATGCACGCATGCACACATGCAAGCACGCATGCAAGCACACATGCACGCAAGCACACATGCACGCACGCACACATGCAAGCACGCATGCAAGCACACATGCACGCACGCACACATGCAAGCACGCATGCAAGCACACATGCACGCACGCACACATGCAAGCACGCATGCAAGCACACATGGACGCACGAACACATGCAAGCACGCATGCAAGCACACATGCACGCACGCACACATGCAAGCACGCATGCAAGCACACATGCACGCACACACACATGCACGCACGCACACATGCAAGCACACATGCAAGCACACATGCATGCACGCACACATGCAAGCACACATGCATGCACGCATGCATGCACACACACATGCATGCACGCATGCAAGCACACATGCAAGCACACATGCACGCACACACAGGCAGCTATGACAAATGCATATATTAATCACAATCGTGAATAAATCAAATGCATAGATGAATCAAATACAAAGATTAATATGCTCTAGAGAATGAATGGATTAATCAGATGCATGGGACTATTGAATGCATGGATCAATCACATGCATGTGAGTGCACCAAAGACGCCAAGGGCTTACATGTGGGTGAGGGAAGTGAGGTTGGAGAGGTGCAGGGGCAGAGGGCCAGCGCTGAGGGGGGGCCAAAGCGAAACTCGCTGTTGGGGCGAAAGTGAGCAAGGGAGGGAGGGAGGGAGGGAGAGAGACTATGAGCGGAAAAGGAACATGTGGTGAGGGAAGAGAGGTTGGAGACGAAGGGGCAGAGGGCCAGAGCTAAGGGAGAGCTGGAGCGAAACACGCTGATGCGGCAGGAGTGAGGGAGGGAGTAAGGGAGGGAATGAGGGAGTGAGTGAGGGAGAGAATGAGGGAGGGAGTGACGGCAGGAGGGGGGTTTGTTCGAAGGAACACAAGCGGGCGGCAGAGTTGGGCCGGGGGAAAGGTGGGGGGAGCTGGGGAGGGAGGAAAAGGGGGGGATTTGAGATTCTCAAAACGTACTGAAAGTAATGCTTGCATGGGATTGCACATGTGTTGAGGGGGGGAGGGGGGATGCTTGGGATTGCATATGTTTTGATTACTGGGATTGCCATTGCTGTTGCTGTTGCGATCGCCATTGTCGTAACCGTTGCCATGGAAGGGGAGGGGTTCAGAAGGTCTATGTCGGATCAATTCAAGAGGCAGTGGGCTCTTGCCAGTGGGCTCATGCAGGCAAAAGAGGTTCATCCAGAGGGGTTCAGTTCAGGCAGCAAGGGGGTCTGTCTGGAGGTCTAAACAGAGGCACCTCACTCACATGTCGATAACATCACCATTGCCGTTGCAAACCACATTGGTCCACCCATTAGCAGTGCCGCGCACGTCAGTGGCACAACCCCACTTATCAGTCAGAGGGGTTCAGGCAGCAAGGGAGCCTGTCTGGAGGTCTAGAGAGAGTTACAGAGGTCTAGGGTGAGACACCTCACTCACATGTCGGTGACATCACCATTATCGTTCAAGGAGCAAGGCAGTCAGCAAGGGCACATGTTGTATGGCACAAAGGGGGTCTGCACAGCGGTGCCTCACTCACATGGCGGTGACATCGCCATCGCCGTTGCGCAACACGTTGGACCACCCATCAGTGGGGTTCACGGAGCAAGGCAGACAGCAAGGGCACAAGTCGAAGGCAGAAAAGAGGTCTAAACAGACGTCTGCACAGAGGCGCCTCACTCACATGTCGATGACATTACCATCGCCGTTGCACAGCACATTGGTCCACCCATCAGTGAGGCCGCAAATGATGCCAGAGCAGCAGTGAAGGTCTGAGCGCCAGTTGGTATAAGTCACTCCGAGAGCAGACTTGAAAGCCAGCAGCGCACCCACTGGTATTGGAAAAGGGGAGGCAGAAGGGCCAGGAGAGGAGTAGAGGGCAAGGGGACGAAGAGGGGAGAGGGAAGAGAAGAGAAGAGCAGCAGTGAAGGTCTGAGCGCCTGTTTGTAGGTCACGCCGAGAGCCGACTTAAACGCCATCAGGGCATTTACTGGGGGAAAGGGGGAGGCAGAAGGGCCAGGAGGGGAGGAGAAGGGGGAGAGGACGAAGAGGGAGAAGGGAAGAGGTATGAAGAGAAGCAGTGAAGGCCTGAGCGCCAGTTGGTGTGGGTCACGCCGAGAGCAGACTTGAATGCCAGCAGCGCACCCACTGGGGGAAAGAGGGAGGCAGAGGGGTCAGGAGGGGAGGAGAGGGCAGGGGAGAGAGGAAGAGAGAAGAGCAGCAGCACTCGCGTGTGTGAGCGCCAGTTTGTGTGGGCCGCGCCCGCCAGGGGGAGAGGAACGAGCAGCGTGGAGGAACGAGCAGCAGAGAGGAACGAGCAGAGCAGTAGCCGCAGTTGGGTTGGGAGGGGTGCATGAGATGACACACACCTGCAGAGGCGTCCAAGAGTTGGCCGGCGTCTACCGGGGGGGGAGGCGCGAGCAGAGTGCAGAGGAGCAGCACAAGCAGGGGGGAGGGAAGCAGGAGGAGAAGCAGGGGCGGATGGGGATGCCGCCAGAGACGCAGCTGGGAAGCCGCCATGAGCTTGGGATTGGAAGACGACAATCCGAGTGAGGAGCCCGAGGGTGAACGATCAGGGAGCAGCAGATCTGCCTGCTAGTGCTTAGTCTGCCGAACGCCAGGAGAAACCACCAGGCCGTCCGCAAACCTAGTAGTACTTAGCTTTAGATGAGTAACTTGCCAGAGGGCAGAGGGCAACTTAATCGACTCGGCAGTCTCAGTAGATCAAGAAGAGTACTACCAACGTCAAGGTGAGGTTGAAGTTGACAAGTTGTCAGAGGGCAAAGAGTCGATTTCTGACGTGAAATCCAAGCAAGCAAGAGGCAGACAGCCATATATATACCTCTTCAAGAGGCGGGCACTATCATTGAGGCTTCTCGTACCACAACGAGCTCCTCCAGACAAATTTCGGCTCCTGCGCTCCTGGGACGCGTTCAGCACTGTTTCACTCAACCTCGTTGCGAAGTGCGGCGCTAACTGGCAGCAACAACCTACACCACATCCGCACATGCCGGCGCTTCGGAGCACTACTACGCAAAGCCGCGCCTCTGCCGCGGGCGGCGCAATACGCCAGGGCCCGCGCCACATCGTACAAGCTGGCTCCTCCCTCCCCCCCCCCTTTCCCAGCGACTTTACAGCCTCCTTGGAGTCCAGCACCGCACATCCCAACCGCTTCTAACCGATCTCCACGCAAGCCGCGGCACCACCTGCGTCACTTGGTGGCGTGGGAAACCGATCGGAACAGCTGTCCCCATGACTGTTCCGTACCTGTGAGTCCCTCATGATGGCTGTTCCGTACCTGTGAGTTGTAACATGACGGGATTCGCCATGTTACATGAGTCCCCCATGATGATTGTTCCGTACCTGTCACCTCAGGCTGTGAGTTTCCTCCTGCTGCAGCTGCTCCTGGGTGATAGTGTTCCGTCGGTCACTGACCCAACACAGAGAGGACGATAGAACTAGTATTCAGTCGGGGTCGCGCCGCGCGGTTCCCTTTCGTCGGCGGGTCTTGCTGGGTCTGAAAGACAGGATAAAGGTTTATTGCAGTCGAACACGGTAATTACACTGCTTTGGGACATGATCGAGAGCCTGCTAGCGAGGACCCTGCTAGCGAGGAACCTGCTAGGTGCCAGTCACAAGCTGTGAGCCATAAGCTGGCAGCTGTCGGCCCCAAGGAAGATGTCGTCAGACGTCGAGGGATGACGTCATCCCACTTTGGACGCTCTAACACCACGACTCGGAGGCGCGCGAAGTCGTCACGATTTGCCAAGGAATGGGAGTCCAAACCATGGCTGGTCGCTCGGAAAGATCATGGGGTGTCGCGCGGCTTGGTTCTTGAAACCTAACCGCGTCGACTCGAGGCTATCGTGGCATTTGCACTTTTGAGGTCGCGCCTCAATACTCTCAATACTGTACTGGGAATGGTGTCGACGACTCGAGGCTATCGCGTCACTTGCACTTCCTCTCATGATTTATAACTAATTCACACTCTCGGCGGTTGATGGACAGATTCAGCACACTCGGTGTACAGTTCTGTACAAATGCAACATGGCGGAGAAAGGACATGTGTTCGGTTCGGACACGTCAATCCACCGCCAGTTTGACACCAGCGAGTGTGGTGGGATGGAATGGCTCTAGCGCATGTACTGTACCAACCAATGTTCTAACGAGTTACATGAGCAAGCAGGTAGGGTGGTCAGTTTACGAACAAGTTCCTATGGACATTCCGAACAAAGGTTGAGAACACTGGGTTCCAGGTTGGCGATTCACGGGTACTTACCCGGACTTCACTTGGCCCTAGGTGCAGGGCGGAGGTCACCTCAAAAGCGCAGATATATCTGTACCAAATTCTTTGTAGGGAGTTTCAGGTTGAAGCTGGAAAGGCAGTACATCTGCTCACACCAAGGCGATCAGAGTGCTCATTCGGCCGAAAGGGTGTTTATTTTTAGACTCTTTGTTTCTAAATGTTGTCGAAAACAAGCCTATTTGCTGACGAGTTGCAGTCATAGGAGAAAAATGACTTGGGACCATTCCCAGCCTGGTCTATGGGAACTTGCTCCATGAGCCATACATCCTGCCATCTTTTCCGCCATGGCTTCACGCGGCAACATCTGTGCCAGAAAGATGGTTCTGTAGAAGGCGGGGGAAGGTGGGGGAAGGTGGGGGTGGGGGAAGGTTGGGATGGGGGAAGGTGGGGGTGAGGGAAGGCGGGGGTGAGGGAAGGCGGGGGTGGGGGAAGGTGGGGGTGGGGGAAGGTGAGGGTTTGTTTGGGGAGTGGGTCAGCCACGTTATGCGACGTGACTGTATGTGACGTCAAAATGGCTCGGTGCTACACCAGAGTAGGAGGCGAAACTACACCCTCTTATCTCGTTACAATTTAATTAAGGAGATCACATTATACACCTAGCCCTCGGTAATTCCACACCCTGAAATTGGGCGGCAGCTGAAATTTTGTTGCCACCCTGACCATTTCTGAGTGTGTAGACAGTACTCCCCTGTTTCTACAGCCTAAGCATTGCAGAGACCGAACTGACGGTTTGGGGCAAAACTTTGAGCTGAATTTCCACCCAACGTCGGGTTTCCTGACACAAGAAACACTAAAACAAATAGTAAAACATTTCGTATAGAAACCCAAGCAATTTTTATTTTTTTTACAAAAGTAGTCGAATCCTGTCATTCAGGAGATGGTTTTGGAGGGGTGAATTGTCAACTCATACATTTGTTGTGCATGTCAAGTTATAGGCTAGACAGGTTCGTGCTCTTAAAGAGTACAGCCCAAACCCTTATATCACCCTGTACGCCCTTGCTAGAGCTCACTTGGTTATTCTAACATGGTATCACGCTAGGTAAGTCCTACTCACCCACGCTTCCGCCCTCGCCTACGGTAGAGCGCCCCGCCCTAGCCTACCATAGAGCGCCCCGCCCTAGCCTACCGTATAGCGCCCCGCCCTAGCCTACCGTGGAGCGTCCCTGCCCTAGCCTGCCCTAGCTTGCCGTTCCTGCACTAGCCCGCCGCGCCGCACCGCCCTAGCTCGCTACGCAGGCCCTAGCCCGCCGCGCTGGCTCCTAGTCTGCCGTGCCGCGCCGTGTCGGCCCCTAGCTCGCCGTACCGCGCTGGCCCCTAGCCTGCCACGTCGGCCCCGTATCGCCGCGATGGCCCCAGCTCGCCATGCGGCCCCCATCTCGCCACTGGCCCTAGCTCATTGCGACGGCCCTACCTCGCTGCGACGGCCCCAGCTCACCGTGCAGCCCCCTACCTAGCTCGCCGCCGGCCCCAGCTTGCCACGTCGGCCCCACCTCGCCGCGCCGCACCAGCTTGCCGCGTCGGCCCTAGCTCGCCGTGCCGCCCCAGCTCGCCGCGTCGGCCGCAGCTCGCTGCGCCGCCCCAGCTCGCCGCGTCGGCCCCACCTCGCCGCGCCGCCCCAGCTCGCCGCACCAGCCCCTGCTCGCCGCCGGCCTCCCTTCCACCGCACCCCATCGGTCTTCACCACTCTCAACCGCACTCCACCACACCAGCCTGCTCCCTGCTCCTCCTCCCCCCTGAGCTCTCCAGCTGCTGCATCCGTGCCCCCCAGCGCCTGCTGCCCTCGCAGACGCCACCACGCCCCCTGAGCGTGAGGCTTTCACCATTGCTGAGCTCGCTCACTTTGTCTGGGAGTCGCGAGACGCTACTGCACAGCTCGCTATTAGTTACGCCCTCCCGCTTTCCGAGCGTCCCCGCTTTCAGGCCCTAGAGACGACGAAGGAATACCTAGATGCAATTATCGCTCACTATTCCACTCCCTCCTCCGCCTCTGATGGTCGTCTCCTCCTGACCCTGCTCTTCCCTGACTTAGCTTCCTTCCCTACGGTCGCTGACCTCGCCACCCACCTGCGCGCTCTTGAGACTAACTACCGCGCTGCTAGCACTGAGCATAAGCTTACCGTACTTCCTCCCCCCCCTCGGTGCTACCCTTTACTTCCTAGCCACGCGCCTCCCCGACCGCCTCGCCACTGCCTGGGACACCTTCCTTAGTCTCTGCCCCGCAGACCTCGCCCTTAGCAACTTCGTCGCTACCTTGTCCGCGATAGAGACCCGCCAGCGCACTATCGCTCAGTCCAGCGGTACTGCAACGAGCCCTATCTTCCAGGGTTGTGCTTCCTCCTAGTGCACCTACGCTGACGCTTCCGCTGCTGTCGCTGAGACAGCCATTGTCTCTAAGACCGCAGCGGCGGCCTCAACACAACCTCGTCAGAGTAGAGGCCCCCGTCGCCCCAGAGAGGGGCATGGGGGAGGGAGGGGTGGTGAGGGTGTTGGGGGTGGTGGGGGTGGTGAGAGCGCTGGGGGTGCGGACGAGGGGGTGGGGGCTACGGCCCAAGAGCAACAGCAGCAACAGGCACAGCTGCAGCAGTAGCAGCAGCAGCAATGGGGGCCCCCGCCGCCGTTATGGCTCGGCAGCTTTGGTGATGGTGGCCGCGGCGGCGGCTCTCACGGCGCGACTCCGGGTGGTGGCTCAAGTTCCGTGAGTTGCCAGTACAAGATCCAGTCTGGTCCCCTCCCTAACACCGTTTGTGAGCGCCCCAGTCATACTGCCACCCGCTGCTACCGCCGCCTCGACGACCTTTTCCGTCTCCGCTTTGGGCCCACGTCGCCCCTCCCGGACTACTAGAGCCTGGTACGTAGCCGTGTGCCGGTCTTTGAGCTGGACATGGATCACATTCGCTCTGCTTTGTATGTGATATATGCTGCTGACTCTAGTGTTACTGTACCTTATTATCATGTGTTTCCTAGCCTAGGTGTGTCTGCTGTGTATAGTCTAGGCTCCCCTGTTGCGTCTGGCGTAGGACCTCCTGACTTGTTTAGCCTTGGCTCCATGCTAGCACCCCCGTTGACTGCCGCTACCGTCTCGTTCTCGTTCACGTTGGACTCTGGTGCATCCGTGTGCATCTTTCGCGACCACACCACTCTCACGCCACTTTTAACACCAGCAACAGTCTCCCTTGCCGACCCAGCCTCTGGTCCGATCGTTGCACGTAGCTCCACCACACTTCCCTGTCCAGCAGTTCCCTCAGGCTCTCTTATAGGTCTTCACATCCCCTCGTTCGTCGGGAACCTGGTTGGTGTCGGCTGCCTTCAAGGACCTTGGCGTCACCACTACGTTTCCTGGATACGAGCGGTACACACTGTGTACTGAGGCCGCCGCTGGTGCACCCCTCACCATGTTCCCCCGGGACCCGGTGCCTGGCTTGTTCACACTGGACACGCAGTTCTCCCCTCGGTGCATGTGTCCCCCCAGGTGGCTGTGTCTACGTAGTTCGCTGCGGCTTGCTCATGTTGGTCGCTCACCCACCCATTCCTGCTGTGACACCGCCGCCTAGGTCACCCCGCACTCCCGTGTCTATGTTACGTGTCCCAGCACGGTCTTGTCTTAGGTCTTCCTGCATCGCTCCCTGCCCTCCCTCCCTTACCCGTGCCTCCGTGTATGCCGTGTGTTGAGGGCTGGGTGCACCGTGCTCCTCATTCCTCCTCGTTTCTCCCCACCAGTGCAGCACTCCATACCTTGCACCTGGACGTCTGGGGCCTAGCCCTGGTCCCAGGGCCGCATCGCGAGCTACTTTCTGTTTCTCGTTGACGACTACTCGCGCTACACCACTGTGTTTCCCCTAGAGCGGAAGGCCAATGTTCCCGACGTTCTTCTCCCGTGGCTTGTAGTGGATCGAATCCACCGTGCCCAGCCAGTGCTTTGTCTCCACTCCGACCATGGCGGCAAGTCCGCCTCCGGTCGGCTTGGCCAGTTCTGTCGTGCGGAGGGCATCACCCAGTCGTACACTATGCCGGACTCCCCACAGCAGATGGGGTCACTGAACGATGCATCGGCTTGGTTATGGAGGAGGCTCATACCTCCATGATTCATGCCGGTGCACCCCATTTTATGTGGCCATTCGCAGTTCGCTGCGCCGCTCACCAGCTTAGCATGTGGCCCCGCTCTTCGCGCCTGCAAGTTTCGCCGACCCTTTTATAGACCGGGTCCCCTAGTAACGTGTCTGCATTTCACATCTAGGGCTGCCTCGCTCACATCTGCACCTCTGGCGTGGACAAGCTCACCGCCCGTACTGTCCCTTGTGTCTTCCTTGGTTTCTTCCTAGACGCTCCTGACTGGCACTTCTACCACCCGTCGTCTCACCGTTTCTTTTACTCACGTAACATCACCTTTGATGAGTTTGTCTCCTTTTACACTCGCTTCCCCCACCGAGGTCTCCCTATTACCCCCCCCCCCATTCCTTGTCCCCACTCCCCTAGTAGCTCCCGCTCCCCGTCCTGTCCCATCTGATGTGTCTCACGTCACTCCCCTTCCTTCGGTTGGCCCGGTGGAGGATTCTGCTGACTTCAAGGGCCTTGAGGATCAGGGTGAGCTGCTTGTGTTTAAGGGGCCTGCACCTTCGGCCCCGATGCCTCCTCCGCCACTGCAGCAGTGGCAGTCGCAGCAGCAGTCGCCACCGCCGCAGCAGCAGTCGCCACCGCCGCAGCAGCAGCAGCAGCAGCAGGGGTCTGTGGGCACACAGGGTGTTGGCGCTGAGGGGGCTGACTCTGAGGTGGGTTCTAGTTCTAGGGGCGCTCGTTCTGGGGGTGCTATTCCTGGAGGTGCTGGTCCTGTGGGTTCTGTCATGGCGTGCATTGGAGGTAGTTGTGGTGTGGCTGGAGGTCTTGGTGTGGGTGTGGAGTAGCAGCAGAAGCAGCAGCAGCAGCCGCTAGTGTTTGCCCTTTGCCTCCTCGGTCTTCCCTCTCCCGACCGCCCGCCTGTGTCTCCCCTGGCGTCGCCTCCTCTTCCTTTCTACGGTCCCGTGTTTCCCCTGCCAGACTCGTCCCTGACTTGTTTCCCCCCTCGTTCTTCCCCTATGTCTCCTCCTTTGTCTCCTGACCCTACCTCCCCCTCTAGCTGGTGCTCTCACCATCCCTCTCGTGCTCGTCCCGCCCCTCCCGCTCCGAGTGTCCACCCTATGTCTCTCCGTTCTCACGCGTCTCGTGCTCCTCCTGCTCTTGTTCTCCAGTCGCCACCTCAGTCATCCCTCTCTGTCTCCTTGCCTCCTCTCTC